GAATCTTGGAGGAACTCTTCCAAGAATTCCGAAAGGATTTATTCCACGAATTCTGCTTGGGCTGTTCTTCAAATTCCGAAGGAATTCCTTCCAGAATTGTATTGGAACATCTTCCAAGGATTATGGATACAATCCTCCAGGAATTCTGTAAGATTTCTTCTGTAGTTATGAAAAAATGCACTCCGGAAGGTTGGAGAATTTACCTCTTGGATTGTGACAGTATTGCGTCCGGAGTTCATTCCGCAGTTCCGGAGGAATTCTTTTCCAAATTTCGAACAAATCCTTCTCGTAATTGTGGTGGTATTCTTCATTGAAATTCTGGAGCGATTCTCTTAGGAATCCATGAGAGATTCTGCCCGGAGTGTATGAGGAATTTTATTCTGAATTCAGAATTTTGGAATTGTGCAGGAGTTTCATCCGGAATAAACTATAAGTCTTCGCGGAATCCTGGATGATTTTCCAGATAATTTCATTTTTTTTTCATGAAGCAGATGAATTTCGATCCTTTCAGTATTCTAGAGGATTAATTTTTTTCCCAAAATTGTTGTGATCATTGAAATTAGAATTCGACAGAAATGTTTCTCCAAACTGTGGAAGAATACTGGTCAGATTTGCGGTAGATATTTGTCTGGAATTGCAAAGGAGTTCTCCCCAGAGTTTTCGAGGAATGCCTCTTGAACTCATGGAGGAATTTTTCTCCACGGGATTCTTGAGACAATCTATTCATAATCTTTTCGATAATTCCGGAAATTTAACGAAATCCGTGAGGATTTTTTTCCAGAATTCTGAAGGAACTTCTCTTCAAATTATGGAGGAATTCCTTTTTGAATTTTTGCGAAATTGTCCCGGAGTTCAGCAGGAACATTTTCAGAAATTCTGGATGAATTTCTTCAAATATCTGGAGGATTTCCTCTCGGAAGTTTTAGAAAATTCTCTTTGGATTTCTGGAGAATTCATTCCGGAGGTCTCGCAATTGTAACGAAATTGCCATCATAACTTGTTTCACAATTCTAGACCAATTCCCTACAGGTTTCTGTTTCCGGGAGCATAACTTTTAGAACTGGGGAATTTAGGAATCTAGGAAAGTATCCCATTTTTTTATGGAAAATACGATGCGAACGAAAATAAGAATATTGATGCATATCTTCCAAGGGTACGGAAAAATCCCCATTGAATTCTGAAAAATTTCCTCCCCAAATTCCAGGAAAATCCCTCCGAAGCTCTGAAGACATGTACTCCGGCAGTTTTGTGGATATGTCTCCGGAATTGTGAAAAAATTTGCTTTAGAAATAAATTCCACAGCTCTGAACGAAGTCTATTGGAATAATGAAGGAATTCTTTTTGAAATTAAGGAGAAATTCGCCTTCAAATGCAGGCATAATTCCCTTGGACATCCTGGAGAAATTGTATTCCGAACACAGAAGCAATTCCTTCCGGAATGTTGGAGGAATTCAGTCAGCATGCTGGAAAACCTGTTATCGTAAATTGCATTTCTTACCGGAATATAGGAGGAACTTTTCCAGGATTTCTGAAGGGATTAAGCTATTTTTTATATTCTGGTGGAATTCCTTCCAGTATCGCAGCAGAAAATCTTTCAAGGGTTATGGATTAAATCATCCAGGCATTCTGTAAGATTTCTTCTGTTGTTCTGATGAAATGTACTCCGGAAGTTTGGAGGATTTACCTCTAGAATTGTGAAAGTATTGCGTCCGGAATTCATTCCACAGTTCTGGAGTAATTTCTTCCCAAATTTGGAAGGAAGTCTTCTCTGAATTGTTCGAGAATTCCTCTCAAAATTCTGGAGTAATTCCGTAGAAATTCTAGATAGATTTTACTCGGATTGCGGGAGAAATTCAATTCTGAATTCAAAATGTCGGAATTTTGCTGGAATTCCACCCGAAATGAAACTGTAAGTCTTCACAGAATCCTGAAGGATTTCTTCCAGAAATTTTGATGGTATTTTTTTTAGGAATTCTTCAGGAACTATACTCTTATAGTTCTGGAGGATTATGTTAAAGAATTGTGGATGAGTTTTTCCTCAAATCCAGGAGGAATACTTCTAGCAATTATGGCAGAATTTCTCCAGATATCTTCATTCTCTCCGGAGTTCTGAAGAATTCCTATTGGATATATGGAGCAACTCTTTCCGTTATTGAAGCGAAAGTGCTTCCAAAATTCCTTCTACCAATTCCATCCGGTATTCTGGGATGAATTTCAATCCTGAATTGCCATGGAATTCGTTTGGTATTCTTTAAGGAATTGGTTTTTAAAATGAGGAAGAATTACACCTGAATTTGTGAAGGAATTTCTCGTGGAATTATGAAGGAGTGCCTTCCAAAATTCTGAAAAAATTATTGTCGAAAGTCTGCGAAATTTCTTTGCGGAGCTCTGCATTAACCTCTCTTCAAATTCTGGAAGAATTCCTTCCAGAATTGTAGAGGATTTTTTCCTATAATCCAGGAGGAATACTCCACGCTGGGAATACTGGAAGATTTTCTTTAGGATTTATGGATGATTATCTTCCAAGTTTGTGCTGAATTCTGATGGATTTTTTTCTGGAATTTCTGGTGGAATGTGTTCTGGAAGAAATTCGTGAACGGTGGATGATTGCTCTCGGAACATGGGGGGTTTTTTTTAATTTCGTTTTGAAGAACTTCTCATGAATTTCAGACGAAATTTTTACCATTAGTTATGAATCGAATTTCATCATATCTCCAGAACCAAATCAGCCATCTTGTCACAGAATGGTTGATTTAACTTGTATATGACTTTTTCCCCTTACACTAAGGTTGCAGCAAATCTTCTTCAATTTTCACTAGAAAAAAAAAATTGGATCAGAAATACAATTCTGGAACAATTCCCTTGAAAATCCTGAAGAAATTGTATTTAAAACACAGAAGCAATGTTGGAGAAATTCCATCAGGATGCTGGAAAACCTATTATCGTAAATTGCATTTCTTCCCAGAATCTAGGAGGAACTGTTCCAGAATTTCTGAAGGGATTCAGTTATTTTTCATATTCTGGTGGAATCCCTTCCAGGATCGTAGCAGAAAATCTTTCAAGGGTTATGGATAAAATCGTCCAGGCATTCTGTAGGATTTTCTCTGTTGTTCAGAAGAAATGTCCTCCGGAAGTTTGGAAGATTTACCTCTAGGATTGTGAAAGTATTGCGTCCGGAATTCATTCCACAGTTCTGGAGTTATTTCTTCCCAAATTTGGAAGGAAGTCTTCTCTGAATTGTTCGAGAATTCATCTCAAAATTCTGGAGGAATTCCCATAGGAATCCTAGAGAGATTTTACTCGGATTGCGGGAGAAAATCTATTCTGAATTCTGAATTTCGGAAATGTGCTGGAATTCCACCTGAAATGAAACTGTAAGTCTTCGCGGAATCCTGGAGGATTTTGTCCAGAAATTTTGATGGTGTTTTCTTCAGGAATTCTTCGAGATCTATCCTCTTATAATTCTGGATGAATTTGAGGAATTTTTTCCAGAATTGTGGATGAGTTTTTCCTCAAATTCTTGAGGAATACATCTAGGAATTCTGGAAGAATTTCTCCAGATATCTGAATTCTCTCCGGAGTATTGATGAATTCACATTGGAAGTCGGGAGCAATTGTTTTCTTTATTTTAGAGAAAGCGATTCAAAAGTTCATTAAGGTCTTCGTTTTGAAAATATAGAATAATTCCGTTCGGAATTGTGAAGGAGTTCCTCGCGGAATTATGTAAGACTTCCTTTCAGAATTCGGATTATCGGATTTTTTTTGAATGCTGCAGAATTTTATTCGAGGGACTCTACATGACATTTTCTTCAAATTCTGGAAGAATTCCTTTCACCAGTGTAGAGGAATTTTTTCTCAAGTCTTGGAGGAATTCTTCTGGGAATTCCACATATCTTAATTTTCTCCTGAGTTCTTAAGAATTCATGTTGTAGGTATGGAACAATTTTTCCGTTATTGAAGTGTAAGTGCTACCAATTTTAGACCAATTGCATCTGGGTTTCTGTGATGAATTTCCTCCGGAATTGTCAAGGAATGCCTTTGGTATTTTTTTAAGGAACTGGTTTAAAAAATGTGGAAGAATTACACCTGGATTTGTGAAGGAATTCTTATTGGAATTATAAGGCACTTCTTTCCCGAATTTGTTTTGAGGATCTCTGCAATAGCTTCTTTTGAAATTCTGGAAAATTTCTTCCAGAATTGTAAAGGAGTTTTTATCTAGAATCCAGGAAGAACATTTCTGGGAATTTAGGAAAATTTTCTATCGTCATGTGCAGACTAATAATACAACATAGGAGGTTTTATTTTAAATTTCTTATAATGAAGAACTTCTCATGAATTTCAGAAGAATTTTTCCCAATAATTATGGATGGAATCTGCAGAACCATAGCAGCCATCTTGTGACATATTGGTTGATTTAACTATCCACAGATCCACTCAAAGTTCTTTTGGAATTGTATTTTTTGCCGAATTCCAGAGAATTTTTTTTCGGAGTTCTAGATTACTTATTCTTGAAATTTCTACCGGAATGGTTGAAGATTTTCATGATGAATTTGTTTCGGAGTTTGGGAGGACTTCTTGTTGAAAATTTCCACGTTGAAAACCGAAGTTATCCGTTTCCTGGTGGAATTCTGGACGGATTCATTCAAATGTAATTTCTTCCAGAGTTCCTATTAAATTGTTTTCGGAACTCAGGGAAAATATTCTTAGATTTCTGTAGAAACTCCTCTCGGAGCTCTGGAAAAATTCTTCTTGGAAAGCTGGAGGAGATCGCTCCAAAATTCTAGAACAAACTCCTCCAGATCCTCTAAAATTCCGAAAGAAAATCCTCCACAATTCCGGAAAGAGTTTATTCAAAATTCTCGGAGAATGCCACTAGAACCATGAGCGAATTTTTTATAGAATTTCTCTATCACCTTGGAAGGATTTCCTTTTGAATCCCGATCATCAATAACCCACACCGCGCTGAAAATTCATCCCAAAAGCCTCCCATCCCCACTTACCACCGCTTCCGATCCCATCTTGACGTTCCGCGCCATATCCATCATGTCCAACGCAAGTCGCGCTATACACTTGGCATGATTCTCGCACTCGTCCGGCAGTCCCGAGACGGCCATATACTTGTCGCCCACCGTTTCCACCTTGTAGATGTTGGAATTGCTCTTCGAATCGGTCAACTCGTCGAAGCACGTGTACAGCTCGTTGAGCATCTTGACGATCTTCATCGCTCCGTCGGCGTCGGTATTGGCCGAACAGTACTGCCCGAAGCCGACGATGCCGGAGAACATCAACGTGACGCCTTCGTACCGCTTGGGGGCCACCGGCCGCTGATGTCGCAGCTCGTTGGCCACGGTTTTCGGAAGAACTGAATACAGAAGCCGGTCGGTTTTCTGCTTTTCGCTTTCCAGGTCCCGGTAGGTTTGCTGAAGTCGGTCGGTAAGGATTTCCAGGTTCGTGGTCAGTTTGTATTCGGCTTCGAACTTTTCGGACAGCAGCACCAGGTCCCGGGAGGCGTCGTGCAGCGGGATGTCCGAGATGTGAAGGCCTTTCCTGTTCAGGGGTTGAGGAAGGTCGTTAGAACATGGTATGGAAGGTTGGAGAAGGGTTGCAATTTACTTGGTCAGATCGTCCAGGTTCATTACGCTTGGGTAGCATTGGAACAGAATCAGGTCCGATTCCGGGATGTACATCATTTGACCCTGCGAAAAGGAAAACGGGATTGCGGTTGAACGTGTTCAAGAAAGAGATGCAGTTTGTAGAACCGACCTTCAGTCTTAGGTATCTCTCACTAATAGCCATCACGCCCGCTTTGGTCTTGAGCACGTAGATTGTGTTGATGTGTGCCAGGATGTTGCCGAAGCTTAGCTCCAGGTGCGGTCGGATCGCTTCGAAGATCGTCAGCAGGGGGCAGTTTTGCTCGGAGATTCTGGTGAAAGATAACAAAGATCGATCTTGGTGATGGGCATGAATTGTAGTCGAACTTACTTGGGTATGACCCGGGAAACGGATTTGCCGGCCTGTACGACGATCAGGTCCCGATTGAACATCAGATGGAAGGGGAAAACCTTGCAAAAGGTCGTCGGCGAGATCATTGGTTCTGTGGAGGAGATCGAGTCTTGCATGGTCTGAAGCGTAAAATTTGAGAGCTGCCATACCTTTTGCGACCAGCTGGTAGTCGGCTTGTTGTTCCTTGTCCTCGCTTCTCCGGGTGGGCGTCTTCGGAGCGGAGATCTCGGTGATCAGAAACTGTATGTGATCGGACCGTTCGACCATCTGCGGGACCTTTGCCGTCGTGGGCTGATTGCTATCACAATTATTGGTGTCATTACTACTAGTGGTCGATTGGCTATCATCGAAAAACAGTCTACTATTGCTTCCGTTTTGACTACTACTTAAGCTAGGTTTATTGCCATTGCAAGACGTAGGGTCGGTTCGGTGTGCAAGCGTGGTCGAGCTTTTGGAGGTTGCTAAATCTACCGGGTTGGAAAGAGAGGTGGAAGAGAAAAGGAAAACGCAAACGACTACAAGTTAGGACTACGGTTCAACTAGCGACAGTTCGAAGGGTTCAACGTACTATTCAGTCTATTCGATAGATAAGATTCACCGTACGTTTTAGACATTAGTATTCGTTTACATAGACCTAGGTTTGCCAGCTCTGGCACGGCCGGGTCGGCCGAAGTGATGATAGGAACTGGTTTTGGTACAACCGGCACCGCTGGAGGAGGCGCAGCGGGAGGTGACTTCAGCTTGTCCTCGGGCTTGGAGGGGGGCACTTCAATGGGATCACCCTTCCGGCGGATGATCTTGATCTCCACGTCGACTCCGTGCAGTTTCGATGCGACGGCCTTGACAATCCCTATCACTATGTGCTCCAGGCCGGGCCGCTCGGAGTAGTAGTGCAGCACCAGTTGACCGTCCGTTTCCGTACACCGGAAGGACGGGGCTCGCATACCGGGATACAGCGTGCCGAGATGGTCGTGCAAAGCGTCCAAATTTTGCAGGAAATCCCGAGGCGTTGCTCCGAGCACCTGAAGGATCTTGTCGTATCCCGAGTCTTGGCAGAATTCAAAGAAGGTCTTCCCGAAGAGCTCCAGGATGTCACCGGCGGGGATATCTGCAAGGATAGATTTGAGCGTTTGTGGAGATCTTGGTAGATTTATAGGAAAACTCACTTAAAATATCCACCGCGGCCTCTATCAGGTTGTACGTGATGTCATCTTCGTAGATCTGGCGGACAAGAAACTGTCCCTCCATGTTGACCTGAGCCCTTTTCCTGAAAAGTATAAAGATTTGGTTAGTATCGAAAAATGTCCATTGAATATAACAAGACTGCACATCAAGCACAAAATTTGATTCGTAACAAGTGCTTCAACACTTATCGTCTTTAAAAACTTGAATTATGTCCTTCTCTGATCAAGTGAGACCCCCTCCCGCATTCAGACAACATCTTCAACAGCTCATCCGTGACATGAATTAAAAAGTCATTCTTTTTTCCGGCTCCTTAACCACCTTCGCCATTGTCACCTCACCCTGCTGGAGAAATCCGAAAAATGTCACGCACCACAAACGATGGCAGTTCCGTAGTCATCCCTGACCCCACACGAGGGAGTTTCGAGTAAGTAATAGACAATAACCGGCTGCTATAATTAGGAATCTAAAAGTACGCCTTGATTTCGCAATCATCCCTTTTCCCCTCGGCTCGTTCGGTACAGAATGGAAACGAGAGATTGCATAATAGAGAGCTCCCAATGAATTCTCCTCCTGCTCGAGGGGACCGTTTTCTTCGTCGGTGGTGGGTTGGTCGGTCGTAAGAAAAAAATTGAATGGAATTCGAAAAAAAAAATACGTCGGAGACAACTTCTCTGCCTAATCTCATTATGCTGTTTTCCATATTCGTTCGTCCTGTCTCCCCAAGTTGTTCTCATCGTCCTATACAGAGTTCGTACGCAGTGGACAATGGCAGCGAAAACCATAATGTTGTGCCATCGCACCCCACTCGTTGTGGCTTCCGGTTTCCGGACTAGAATGGCGGTTGTGGTGGCGGCGATGGTGATGGTGATGGTGGAGTTCATTAGGATCGAATAAATATTTATGAGAGAAGCGGGTTAGATATCAATAGGCTGATAAAGTTTGATGATACTGATGGGCGTTGTTTAAGTGAATTTAAACTAGAATTTGTAGTTTTAGACAACCAACAAATTGCTTTATTTGCGTGCTGAAATTAGTTTTCATCAAGATTTAGTGTTGTGGCTTTCAAGGGGATGCTGTGGCTGTCGAACCCAATCTATAACTCATGTTCCCCACATATATTTTGGTACTTTGCATGTTGGTAACCACTTTATTTATTTATCACCGGTTTAGACTAGTCGTACAGACTGAACTTTTCTAAAGGCTGACTAAAAGTAAATTCTTACGCCCCTCGCGCGCCGCTAGCACGCCTTTAGTTTTGACAATCGATAATCTTTGATAGTGGTTTGTTTACACTTCTATATAGAACAACTGGTGCAAGTTTGATCAAAGTAGTCGATCGCGTTCAGAAATAATGTCAAATGGATCTCGAAAGAAGAAAAAATATTGTGCACAAACGCCTGGAAAATCCTGAGTGGTCCGGTTCCAAGCTCCGATGATGCCGAAAACAACAGTTTGCTGAGTGCTCAAAACCTGCAAGGAAACCCTGATTGTGGAAAGGAATCAGCGGACCTGCAAAAAACTGGAACCAGGGATCGTCAGCTGCGCAGCAAGGTGTTGAGGTGCGTTAAAGCCAACTCCGGTCCTTCGATCTGAAATGTGGCCAGAAGGTACAACGCCAACTTTCAAACGGTGCGGAACATCCTTTCCAGGGAAGGATACAAGTCGTACAAAGGCAGTAAACATCCGAACCGGCACATGAAGCAAAACTCCGTGATCAAAAAGCGTGCAAGCCTCGTGTACGACCGTGTTTTAACGAAACACAAGGGCTGCACTTTGATCGATGACGAAACGTACGTCAAACTCGATTTTAAGCAGCTTCGCGGTCAAAAGTTTTTCATCGCGACTGGACGTGGGGATGTGCCGAGAAGATTCAAGTTCGTGTTTGCCGACAAGCTTGCGAAGAAGGCCATGATTTGGCAAGCGATTTGCAGTTGTGGCCTGAAAACGGAACCATTCGTCACATCCTCTACGATGACATCCCAAGTTTACACCGAAGAATGCCTGAAAAAGCGTGTATTGCCGTTCATCCGCAAGCATAAGGGCAAAGTCATCTTTTGGCCCGATTTGGCCAGCTGCCACTACTCCAAGGCGGTTCTGGAGTGATATACTGCCAACAAGATTGATTTTGTCTCCAAGCTAATGACCAATCGAAAAAGACTGGGCAATTTCAAAGCAGCGACTTTGACGAAGCAGCGGGGCAGTCAAGGACATCCAACAAATGCGAGCAAAATGGAAGACATGAGCTGATTCCGTTTCCGTTTCCACTGTGCGGGTGCTGATGGGCTCCATGAATAGGAATGTTCGAGATTTCGTTCGAACTGGAGAAATGTAACCATCTAATGCTGTAACTTTGAAGTTTTAATAAAACTACTGTAAAGCAACCATTAATGGACTTCTTAAACTTATTGAATCACGAATTACAGGTCTTTTTGTGGGTATCAATTTACTTTTAATCAGCCTTTACTTATAAACCAGAGATTTTTTCTAACCTATTGCTAAAAACGTGTTCAGTCAAGTTAAAATCAAATTCATCACAGACAACATTGAACAAGCGAAGACAAGAATTGAAAGGGTTGTTGTAGCCGTAGTTTGTTCTGTGATATTGGACTGCTATTAAAACTGAGTTCCGAAACCGTCGTGGAAGAATGTTTAGCAGAATCTGTGCGAGAAGTTCAGGGCAGCCGATAGACATTGCAATGGCATTGTAGACAAATAGCCGCTGCATCGTCACTCGTCTGACATATAGTGGCTCGAATAGTTCCAGGGAAGTTGTCTCAATGCAAATCGTAAGAACCGTTTCTGTATCCGTTCTATCATGAGAACATGAGTTACATAACAAGGGGACCAAATCGGAGCTGCGTACTCCAGGGACCAAATCGGAGCTGCGTACTCCGTGTTCGTTGAATCTGAGCTTCGAGTCGTTGGTAACTCCGTGGTCGCAGATGGACGACACACTTTCCAATGATGCCGTTTCCATCCTGTATTGATGAAGAATGGGGTTATTGCAGCGGCCGAAGGTAATTTTTAGGTCATCCACGAACGAAAGGTTGAACGAGGAAAGTAGCAAACACAGGCCATTGATAAATCTGTTGAATATTAATGGTCCCAGAACCCTTCCTGGGGGTACAGCAAACGTGATTTTGATTGTGCGGGATCGAATCGAGTTGATCGTAATATATGCGGTACGATCGCACAAGTACGAATATATCCACTCTGTAATCCAGGCTGGAAAATCGATGTGCTTCAGTTTCTCCACGACTTGAATGTGCGGTACAGTGTCGAAGGCTTTCGCAAAGTCAACAGACACCGTGTCAACTGTGGACTATCCTCGCTGTTCGACTTGATCAAGTTTAAAAACCTCTAATTTTACTCAACCTGCCATTGTATGAAGGGTCAAAAACGGTTTGGGTGAATCCGTGGGCAACATTGCCCACTTGCATCCACGCGATACATGAGAATCTCCTTCCAACATAAGGATCATACAACCGGTAAAAAACAGGCCATCCAACAGTGGGAAATGAGTGGGAAGAAGAGCCCGTCCTCTATTAACGAAATGTTATAGACAGGGAGTTGGCATTTCCACTCTTTCTAACCATTTTGCTTCAATCAGGTGCCCTGGTGAAGCCTTCCCGTACCCAGCATATAATGTTTCATTTAATAATGGAATGAAAGTTAAGAGAAAAATAAAGGAAAGATTTCACCCGATTTGTTCCAAAGGAATCCATGACATCAGGATGATTTCGAAGAGCTCCCATAGTTGCTCCCAGCTGCGTAAACTCCATCAACCACTAAACAGGCTCTAGCTGTTCCAACTAGAGGGACCTCAACTGAGAAAAAAAAGTAAAAGGGTCTGTGCCTAGAGGCAAGCTCCCGTGACGTAGGGCCGCTAGGGCACGGAACAAATGTGAAGAAAATTTAGTTCTTTTAATTGATCGATCATCTATTATCTTAACTCTTTCCGTTTTTGATTTGTAGTCGTACCAAATTTGTAATATTTTTTTTCAAAGAGAAAGTTGATGAAGAGAATCGATCAAAATCACTTGTACCCCTGCTTCCAAGTTTGATTACAAGATTACAACTCTGGAGATCATTTTGTGTGGTCGTTGAGGGCATGTGGTTCTGAATATGGACCAACAGGCAGATAAATTCTATTCTAACTTTTTACTGTAATAAGCTTGTTGGCCCAGAAAAGGGCCGTTTTGTTGCTCCGAAACTGTACAAAGTTCGTCTGTCGCTTCAAAGCGTAGACAACATCGATGGCCGCTTACGCTTGGCGTGTTCAGTATAGGTGACAGCATCACGGATCACATTTTCTAAGAACACCTTCAGCACACCTCGGGTTTTCTCGTAGATCAGACCGGAGACACGTTTGACACCACCACGGCGCGCCAGACGACTGCTTTTGCTGCTTCTGCTATCTGCTCACCACGGCGTCCGAAGCGAAAATGAGTTGAGGCTAGACAGCAGCGTTGTTTTATATCTTTTCAGGTTAAAGCAGAATGATGTGCAACCAAGTGGTACTCGATTATGACGACTGCCTTTGGGGACAACGTTTATTTCATGAAAACAGTGAAAAAATTATCGCTTTTTATTTGTACTTTGGATAATGCTTGACATTACCACTTTTTCAGTAGTTTCTTGTTGAAAATCATCAGTTGGAAGCATTGGGTAGACATATTTCTGATCGATTGGTGATAAAATTATTGAAATTGATCCTAGGGCAGCTGAGTTATTAATGTTCAAAATCTTTCATAATTTTGTTTCATGTTCCATTTTCGGTTTTCACAAAGTGTACCCCAGTATAGAAATTAAAGACGTAGTCCTACGTCAAAAATCCAAATCCACATTCTTTGGGTAACCTCCCTTTTGGCTAGACTGAGTGATTTTTGACTCAAAATTGATTAACCTAAAATAGCGTGTAAACTAGCTATAGTTACTTCTTTCATACCAACGAAAATGCCATTTGACCTGGACACTGCCCGGTGTAGTGTACAGATCCCTTTCCACTGTTACTTCTTTTCCTCTACACTAAACAAAAACATCCGCAATACTTCGAATGATTATTGCATTGCCCGAGCCCTT